GTTTATAGATAAACGAAAACTGTACCAACTCAGGTAACACATGCACCAGTATAGCTAAAGAAATTCATTACTTTTCATCTAATCTTTCAGCGCAAACGATTATTATCAAAGTAAAACAATTTGTCATTCAAAAATGTCAATAAAAATCTGCATATTTCAATTGTAACATCGTATGGATTTTTACGTTTTTATGTACATGTAAGTTAATATACAAATATAACTAGTCAAAATAAGATCTAAAGCTAAATGGATTGAGAAAGGAGAAAAAAAAACACTGCATATTTTTTAAATTTAGAAAAACAACATCAATCCTCGAATGTTATACCAGAACTTCTGACCCCTAACGATGAAACAATTAATAATACTAATGAAATATTAGGAGAAATGTTTAACTTTTATCAAAACTTATATACAAGTAAAGGCATAGATAATGAAATTATTGAGGACTATCTGTCAGAGATTGAAGTACCATTATTAAGTAACGAAAATAAAAATAACCTAGAAAAATTCCCTACTTTAGAGGAATGTACTGAAGCTGTTAATGATATGAAACACGATAAATCACCAGGTCTTGATGGATTACCTAATGAATTCTATAAATGCTTCTGGGCGCAAATCGGCCCCTTTTTCTATGACGCTCTAAAAGAAATATATGATCGGGAGATAATGTCATACACACAACGACAATCAATAATATCATTAGTTTTTAAAAAGGGAGATAAAAAACTTTTAAAAAATTACCGTCCAATAAGTTTGACAAACACTGATTATAAAATCGTAGCGTTTGTATTTGCAAGACGATTACAAAAAGTTTTATTTGAATTAATAAATAAAAACCAAACTGCATATATAAAAGGACGATACATTGGTGAAAACGCTAGACTGATTTTAGACATTTTTGAATATTGTGAATCTAAGAACCAAGGAGGAATTTTATTATTTTTAGATTTCGAAAAAGCTTTCGATTCTGTTGAATGGAACTTTCTTTTTAAAGTATTAAAGAAATTCAATATGGGTAATAACTTTATTAAATGGACAACCATTCTCTATACAAACCCGGTTTTTAAAATGAAAAACAATGGATGGATTTCAAAGACGTGTTCAATGACAAGAGGAATTAGGCAAGGATGTCCCCTATCTGCCCTTCTTTTCCTCTTTGTTGCCGAAATATTAGCAATTAAAATACAAAATAACCATAACATTAAAGGTATCTCAATAAATGATAGAGAGGTTAAAAATATACAGCATGCAGATGACTTAACAGTAGCATTAAATGACGAATTATCCATGAAGAATACATTAGATGTTGTGAACGCATTTTGCAAATGCGCTGGATCTAAAATTAATATAACTAAAACATAATGCATTTTGCTTGGGAATATGAAAAATGCGTTTGATATGCATTGTGGAATCAAAGTTACAAACAAAGCAGTTAAATGTCTAGGTATCTACTTAGGTCATGATAAAGAGGAATGTTACAATAAAAACTGGATGAGAATATATCATGATATGGAAAAACTCTTTGAATCCTGGAAACGTAGAAAATTAACTCTTTTTGGCAAAGCTTGTATTATTCGGACACTGGCTATTTCAAAATTGATATATGCATCGTCAATTTTATGTCTTCCCGATGAGAACTATATTAAGAAAATTCAAAGATTAATTTTTAATTTCATTTGGGAAAAAACGGAGAGAATTAAACGGAACACACTGATTGGTGACATATCACGAGGCGGACTTTCTATTGTCGATGTTGACTAAAATCATTGAAAGCAGCGTGGATTCCACGATTACTAAATTCAAAAGGTTTACTGTTCGATATTTTAAATGATTTCTGTAAAAAACTTAATGTTGATATCTATTATCTTTTAAAGCTTTCATCAATAGGCGTAGATAGCTTAAAAAATATACATGTTCCTCTATTTTACAAAGAAGTTCTAAGTTGTTTTAATGAATGTAAAACTGAATTGAACTTTGATAAAAGATCTTCTGATGATATTTTGCAACAGCCAATCTGGAATAATCGTAATTTGGTCTATAAAGGAAAAGCTATTTTCTTTGACAATTGGATTAAATCTGGAATTTTATATATATATGAATTGTTTGATGACAAGGGTTGCATCAGACCACTTGAACATTTTTCCAATATAATTGACAAATCTAATTGGCTATGTGAGTACAAAATTCTTCTGTCAGCTACTAAGAATATTCGAAGAACACACAATTTTTCAAATGCAAGCAACATAAATAAACAAAATGTAATTAACTTCAACTTCCCTTTAGGGAACTTCAACATATCAGGAAAATCAAGTAATTTTTTTCTACAAAAATCTTATTGAAAAAAAGTTTTGTAAACCCAGTTTCCAAGCTATATTATCTAAAGATTTTGGAATATTTGAGGAGTCAAGTTGGAAAAATATTTATGAATGTAAGATTTTAGATATAAGAGATAAACACATAGCAGAATTTAGCTACAAACTATTGAATAATATATTATGTAACAATGCTTATGTGAGTAAGTGGAAAAAAGATATATCTCCTATGTGTATACATTGTAACAAAATAGAGAATGCAAAACATCTGATTTTTGAATGTGATAATGTGTCTAATATATGGAATACTATAAGCAGTTTTTTATCATTTAAAATTCAGTGGAAACATATTGTTGTTGGGTTTTTCCATGAAAAAAAATGATAAAACTAGATCTCTTAATTTACTTATTACGTATGTGGCATATAGAATTTATAAACATAAAATGTTATGTAGATTAGAGTCTTTAAGTGAAACTGAATTTAATTTATACAATCATGTAAAAAAATCAATTTGTTTCTACACTTCTGTATTACGCTTTCTATTTGTTAACACTGAGCTAAGGATTTTTGAAAATCTTTCAAAACTAATGTGAAAATTATATATTCTTGTATAAACACTACTGGGAAGGGACCCGTCTTCCCGTAGTGCTGTCAAAAAGGGGGGAGTAAATGGACTGTGCAACGTATTTGTGGCTCCCTCGATCGACAGCTACACTGAAATTATATCTATCTTATTTCATAATGTATACTGTATAAATATATTTTTTTGAAAATAATTGTACTTTAATTTTTTTCTATATAATTTATAACATCCTGCGTGATGTCATAGGGACAAAAATATCATTGTTTAGAAGGAGCTTAGTCAGGGCCCCATCCCTGGCAGTTGCCTTATTTTTTTTTCTAGTAATGTTAGTTTATATGTTGTTATAGATTAGGTCTGGGAAAATAAAATTGATTAAAAAAAAAAAAAAAAAAAAAAAAAAAAAAACAACTAGTCAAAATAGGTTATACAATATTTTTATCCAATCAAATGGCGCGTTAAAAACAAATTAGTTTATATCATGTTTATTGAGTCGCCAGGATCACGATGATTGGCTTCAAAAACGTACCGAACCGCCTGACATTACATTTAAATTTGGGAAAATCTGTTACGGTGTAGGTATAAACTGGGTCGACACAGTCTATGCTTTTTGAGATTATTATATATGTTTAGTTGTACAACATACGGATAACAAAAAGCGGTTCCATTTTTCAATTTGTATGTTTTTATGTTATAAAAGGGCCAAAAGAGACCTGTAAACGAATTAGTCTGCATGGCAACTGGATGCACGTTATAAAACTTCAACGTAAATGTATTTGTTAGTATCGTACTTTGCAGAGGTATGATATTACCTAGTTCCTTTTTACGTGCTTAATAATGATGGAAGTGAATACTGCAAAAGAGACTTCTGTTTAAAAATTGAAAACAATTCATACTTTCCAGATTGTAATGTTATTTTTTGTATATAAAGGGGTAAGATTAATTATGTATTCATTTTACATGTTTTAGAAAAAGACTAAGACTTTATGCTAAATAAATATGAGAAAATCACCAGAACTCTTCGTTTTTTCCCACTTGTTTCAGGTTTGGCCATATCTCGTCAAATGTGTTTAAGGTTGCCTGAAAAAAGGAAATAAATTGTGTTTGTTTATTTTGTTTTGATTTTATATGTTTTTTTACTTTATTTCATGTTTTGTTTTTTTTACCTAGACTGCTCTTGATTTCAATATTTACATTTGACTAATGATGTACCTCTGAAATCTTTGTTTTCATAAATTGTTCTTCATGTTGACAAAATTCAATTCTGTCGCCATTGTTGTTAGAAGGCCTTGAATTAAACATTTGCATTAATATTTCAATAGCATTCTATGAGACAAGACAATTCATATTCTTATACTTTAGCCTCTACTTATATATATCTCTGTTAAAAACTTACTTTTTATATTTGCCTTTCTATTCTTTATTATAACTTAAGAGTTAATATTAAATGTTTTTTTTTAAAAAGGGTTATAGACTAGTTTGTATATAAATGACCGTACACGAAAGCTTCGTTGGCAGAGCAATCACTTTACGAACAGGAGGCTGTGAGTTCGAATTTCGCAGCGACTGACCTAAATGCATAAACAAATGGGTAGCAACTGTTCCTGCGCCATGCATGCGGCACTTGAAGTGAAAGTTGCAGGTCCTTCTGATAAGACCTAAAAAACCAATGTCCTGTGACACAGTTGGTACTGGCACGATAAAGAACCCTCACTGTTTAATGGCCTTGAATACTTAGTAAAGGTCAAAATTTGATGCCCTTCAACGGTATCTTGGTGACGTATCTACATGAGTGAGACACTTAAACAACATAAAATCAGTCATATAAATGCAAAATGTTATATGGCTTTAGAGTTCATACTGAAGAAAGAAGCATAAAATTTCAAGAAAAGGTACGCTTTCCGATCTCATAATTTTAGAAAGTGTAACTATGAAGGATATGGAGATAACGAACAGTATTCAATCTCAAAGTCCATAAAAGAATACAAAATAAGAGCAGAGCAAACACGGACCCCCGAAACATCAGAGGTGGGATCAGGTGCTACAACATAGATATTGAATGCTTATTCGTGAATAAGTGTCGTTTTAATGATTTTGTCCATAGCATACCATAATCCATGCACGGTCCATCTTTTTTGCAGCTTATCTCCGCATATCAGCTGTACAAAATATAATACACATCTAAAGATATCAATTGTGTCTTGTATCGTATTAAACAGATAAAGCGCAGTCAATTTAATTCTATGTATGTAACTTACCTTTCCTTTTTTACAATATGTCACTAGCCATTGAAACGCCAAAATAAATAAATCAAATTTCTGTTCTTTTGCATGATAGTTCTGACTGTAATAAAAATACAACCAGGGTTAAAAATGACAAAGCGCGGATAGTATACACTACTCCACTGGTTGTGAGTGGGATAGCTCTTTTATCAGACCCACGACAGGGAACTATTCCCCGAGGGCTTGCCTGTCAAGGGTTTGATAAAAGAGCTATCCCACTCACAACCAGTGGAGTAGCGTTTTATTATACTGAAGTATATTATAATTTCTTTTTTGCACTTTTTTTGAGTAAGATAATAATTCAAGAATAATCATAAATCCTGATGACGTCACAATGCTACTGAAGTCATTATGACATCACCAGCCAATAGAATTATCGCTGGAAATCAAAATTGGAGGCAAAAATTGCATGAAAATTTTCCGAGGGTGGATAGCAAAAACTATACCCCGGGGTATAGTTTTGCTATACATGAACTATAAAAAATAGATATTTTACCTTCTGAACTTTATACAGGAAACATTTTAACAGAAGTATAATAATTTACATTGTCTTACTTTTATTGTCCTATCAAAAAACAATCTGTTATGATGAGTACTTCATATTTTTATTCATAAGGTGTATTGTATTAGGATATTTTCCTTTATCCAGCCTCTAATAAAAATTTTGAAATTTCACTATTGGTTGAGAGCAATACTTCATTAAACGGTGTTATGCTGTCTTAACATATAACATTGCTAACATGAAACAACCAACCATACATCAGCAATATGTTTTTTTCACGTTAACCCGCGCATGGAGCTTCATAACTGGCTTCACAGTGCGTCAGATGACATCAACTAAAATCATGTTTCCTTTCAGTAAAAGCGATATATCGGGATCATGAATATTTAATCTTTCAGAGAACCATCGACAGGATTTACGCCTGACCCTATGCGCATTTTTCAAGGACCCTACATATTTCTTTATTATATGTACCACTCAAAGTGTCTACATAACTAATAATATTCAGAAGCATCTATTCTGATTTATGGATTTTATTGCTAAAAGCTATACTTACATCGACTTAAAAATATCGATATTATAAATATTGAGTTCATCATGAGGATTTAAGATATAGATTTTAGTTAGCTCGACAAATACAATAAAAACATGCATAGAAGTTATACACACTTTAACTTGTGTCAGTTTAAATACGGTTGGAAATTTATATATCATGTGAAGGTATACATTTACTCAAATTACTAAAAACGTCACCGATAAGAACGAAAAAACCAGCTATTGGGCATTGTACATCTATGATTCTTGTGTTAAATTTCAATTTCAAATAACTTGGTCAATGACCTACTTTTCATGATAGTGGCCCCTCAGTATTTCTCGGAAAATAACTAAATTTTTCACACTTAGACTTTTTATACTTACAGAATATTATTAGCAACACAACTCTTTAAATAATGAAATATTACAGGGTTTGAGCAGCTTTGCTACATATAAAGGAATCATTTGAGTTTGAGCGATAGTAATTATTACAGTCCGAATTTACTCTGTCATACTTATATTATTTCCCCATTTTGAATGAAATGTTTTTAAAATCTGAATAATAAGAACTCTAAATTATTTACAGCCTTAAGTTATTTTTGTACAGTGTATTTTATTATCATGGTATTAATATTATAAAGGGTCAATTATCAAATTTTTGGGATATGTTGTCTAGAATGGTTTGTGTTCATATTCTTTTTTATCTAATTATTTTAAAGCATTCAATTATTTGAAAAAAAAATTATTAGCTTTAACATATGAATATTTGCAAAATAATGTTTAAAATACGTGTTACCTTAACATTGTAATTATTATTGCAATCAAAAAAATAAAAAACTTAAATTTAGTTCGAATTTCCTTTACCTTACCATATATTGATTTTTGTTCCTGTTTATTTTCTTCGAATAATGAAATATCAAATTTTCAAATTGATATTGAGTTAAAACTGGGTTACTTTATCAATATAGATTTTTTTTATTTATTTAACGTACTACACTTTATCAAAAATCTTTTCTTTTTCCTGAAACCTCATCAGTCAACGTCATTCTTAATTTAAAAAATTAAGATTGAACGCCTTATAAAGATGTCAAAATTATAATTATTCATTATATTGCGACAAAAGTAATGCTTAAGCATTGTTGTTTGGAATACAACTAACTTTTGACATGTGTAGTTTTTCCTTTCATCTCCACGTAGATATGAACCTGTACAGTCTCACCCCTCCCCTCCCCCTGAAGTCGGTTGACAATGGTTTTCATATATATTTTTTTTTCAACTACATGCAATTTTTATGTAACATCGACACCATGATTCTATGATTAAATATCTTGTTTTGATCTTTTAAGTCGATAAATGAATAGCAATTATAATATGATGAAAAAGCGATAAAATATAAGACCACATACAAAGTTATAACATACCAAGAGTGTAGAGACCTTTACAATTCCATGTTTTTAAGGTAACAGTAATAGATTATAGAATATATGTATATTTTCATCTCTTTGTAATAATCCTAACCTCTATTATAGCTCTTATAATATACACTAAATTTATCGCTACACATATTGTAGTAAAATTGATGACATTGCTTTCAGTACGCACCTGTTCAATATAAGTATTCCACTAACCAACAATGACTGGTGGAAAGGACCCATAATCAAATCTCAGGATTTCTAAACTGTTCAAAGTTGGAGACAAATTTAAATGTAGCCGATCGAGTCAACACTTGTATTGCGTTAGAAGTATATTGAAAATTTAAGCAAGTGCACAAGAGATGACGCATTTTTTTTCTTACATCTCTTTTGATTATTACGATTAAACTTTGAATAAATAAAAAAAAATGCATTTCTTATTGAATTAGAAAAAGTCAAACGAACTTACTGTAGGGACGCTTCAGGACTGCAACAATTTGTATTTAAAACAAAAAAACTTCCTTTATCTTGTGCTTTTGTATACTGCATAAAACTAACGGATATTGACACTTGGTAGGATTGAATTTTTTATTTCAGTTTTCTGTGGAAGTAAAAAAAACACTTGTTAAAGAAAAGAGTAACAATATTTGAAGAGAAGCAAGAATATCTATTTATGTTAGAGTAGGGAAAAGGACATCAAACTTTAATTACTAGAAGTTGTAGTAGTACATGTATATTGCTCCAGAAGTAATCGTACGTGGCAAAATTGTTTCAAAATGCAGTGAATAAAAATTTTATATCAAGCCAAATGCTATCTTTTTTTTTTCTTTGAGTTATGGAACTTTTTCTTTTACTAGAACCCTTGCATGGAATATGTTAGTACAATAAGAGTTTAACAATGGAACAAGTAAACATGTGAACAACATAATACTGTAAACGTATTACATTTAGCGGTGTATTCTTTTTAGCGATTTTGGCGGAAAGCAGAGTCCGCTAATTCAAGTACATCGCTAAATGTCTTGTACATAAACTTTTATAAGTAGCAACTTCAGACAGCGCTAAATTAAATCTAAGCTAACTTGTTCAGAAATTGATTTTCCGCCTAATACCGTACAAGCCAAATGTAATACATTTACAGTAAACAAGAAAAGAACTATCATAGTAATGTGTTTTACCCATAATAATTCTTCAAACGTCATCTTTCAAGTTAATCAGATTATATGGAGAAAATTAATTAATCTCAAATAAATTTAATGAATTGCGAATAAAAACACCTGCGATGCCTTTTCCAATTAAAATTTGATAAATTAACACATTTAAAAAATAAAAATCATAGCTATCAAGGCTTTTAAAAAAATTCCACAATTTTTATATACATAATACATGTACACCGTTAAAAATATCGATATGGGAATATAAGATATCGATGTAGTTAGCTCGACACACACAATAAAAATATATGCATAATTATAGTGAAATTGCTATAAATGTGCTAGTATTTTAAACGGGAAAGTTAGCAAAATTATGTTTTGTCGCTAATTTGCTGACAAATAATGTAGTTGTTGAATGGTTATAATAACAAAGAAGATGGGAGTTGGACATAGCTCGAAGCTATCAGTTTTTTTAGATTGTTTTCATTGCAGCAAATATTAATGTACTGAAATCATTCTAATTTTAAAATTAATAAATAATCTTCTTAAATATGCAAGTCTGGTAAAAATTCAATATTCATTTTATTGACAAAATACGCTCTTTGAATAAAAATTATGTGCTAACACCTTCCCCCTCTTTCCTATTGTTTCAATTTTTTTCTTCATACTAAGTACATTTAGTACTACTACAGTCTTACTTTAAGTTGAAAGTTACAACATTATGCAAGTGGCGTTGGCTATTTACTCTGTAAATATTTCGTGTTTTAAGGTTTTTTTTCGTTATATACATAGAATCTGCCACGCAGCTAGGCAAGAACATTCACAGTCTTGACACCCCCACCCCACCCCAAACTGAACTCAAGAAAATATTAGCAGTAAATCGTGGTTGAATATTTATATAGTGTCTGCTGGTGGCTTCATAGTTCAAATTTATCTTCAAACAGGATATGGTACCATATACCAGTATGCCCTGCGTCGGATCTGTACTTAACTTAATTGACTCAGACCTCGGAAATAAACTTTAAATATAGGTCCCAATAAGTGGAGACGTCACAAACAAGCTTGTTTGTACATGTATATAAACTGATTCAATTTCCTACCACGAAAATCTACTTTACACATAATAGATTAATTGCTACTTCACTGAAGAGGTATCACTTTTTAAATCACTGGATTAAAAATTTCCTTTTATACTGTGAACTACTTTCACTGTTCATCTTGATGGATTGCGTTGGAATAATGATATAAATATCATCTTGTTCCCCATTTTATCTGCGGACAATTCAATTTGTCTATTGAATAGTCTACGCAGCAGTTAAGGTTACAGTAAGGAGGCGGGGCCTAATTTGTACGGGAAATGTTTACTATGACGTCACGCATAATATAAGTTCTCCAGAATACCACAAAATGAAATCATTTGCTATTTCAAACAGCTGGGTAGCTGTATACTACATACAAACTTACTATTACATGCAGTTTTGTCGTTTGTTAAATCCCACACAACAGTATACAAACGATGCATCGATAGCAATGCACTTGTCAATGTGACGTCATCTCACAAAAAATGACGCAGTTTTTACACAGTGAGAGGCTGATCAAGTCACATTTTGTACAATGAAAAATGTCTTTTGTTCTTAAATCAAATATTATTTGCAGTAAAATAAAAAGCCATTAACTTGGATGCAATGTCTATTTTAGTATTTTATTTATAAACTGTACGTGCATTCTCCAGACAAGCGATACTGTCGTGTGTTTGTATGCAGATTTATTGAAAAAGTAATGGAAGGGCCCTAATAAATCGATTTTTTGCAAGGGCATACCCTCAATGTATCTTGTCAAAATTTTACACATAAACTCAAGAAGCATTAAGATATTTGAAAAGTGCTGCGAACCTCTTGAAATCTTGCAAATAAATTAATTTATAGCTATATTTAATGTAGTTGACCAGCAAAATATTTAACCTGCCGTCCAACAAATTAAATTTTACCAATCAAAAAGGGGAATCTATATAGGTTCGCAGCACTTTTCACAAACTACATATAGTATTGAAAAGGATTATAAAATAAACTAAGATTTTTAACTTGATTATGCCCTTGCAATATTGAAAGAACAAGGTTCACTTTCGCCTTATTTGGCCCTGTGAATTTCTGAAAAACTGAAACTGCATAGTTTTAATTAACAATGCATTATAATATAACTTAGTTCTTTGGTGACTGCGATCCTATATAAAATGACGTCATTTTCTGGCTAGTCAATGCATTATGACGTCACGAAATGCGTCAATTTCCTCATATTCCGAAAAAGTCTACAAAAATGGCTAATTTTTAATTTTTTTGATATTTGATATAGAGCGCAACCTCTGATCTAAAATATGCAACTAGTAAATGATAGAACTGTTTCTGAGGATTCATGGACATGTTTTTTTTTTTTAGATCAGAGGGTGCGCTCATATTATTTTTCTTCACTGAAAGCACTCAATTATACCTGTTTACCTAAAAATTCAAGAACATTGCAATTTCATAAAGCCAGTTCTCGAAGACCTGGACTTTGAGGAGAATTTTTTGAATAGGATATGAAAGCACCAAGTCTCTATTTTATTCTAATGCTTCAAATAGAAAATCAAGTGTTGATCAATTAATTGGTATATCTACAGGGCCATTTTATGCATAAAGTTAACCGACTTCTTTATAGATGACCTCTAAACTGCAAGTATAATTGCCAAAGTCATGTGACGTCGACATCATGTGACAAGTCTAAATAAAAATTCTAGATGTCACCAACATGTAGATTTAAACCACATTACATTTTTTTATATCAGTGAATTCCTAAAAAGATTCGCCCATCCTAATAAAGTATGTATTTTTTATCTTAAAAAATCGCCGATATTTCCATTTGTAACCTTAACTGTGCTGCGTACCCTTTTATAAGTATGATGGACCAAAGAACTACAAACTCTAAATCTTGATTCCTGCCTACATTTTGCACCAATTAAATTCAATATAAATGGCAAATTGGCCATTAAATTTTTGTTTAATACAAAGAACAGTTCTATGGTAATCGATTAATCATTTGAATTCCAAGGCTAGATAGTACGTTGGATAGTACGTTGGATACGCAAGAGCATGCTCTACGTATGAACAATTTCTTAAACGAGGTAAATTATTGACAAGCAAGTTGATGAAACAAGAATATCAACAGTCTCGTTTAAAGTCATCATTTCGTAAATTCTATGGTCGGTACAATGACCTTGTCAGCAAATACAATTTATCATTGAATGAAATGCTGACTGACGTTTTTCATACCTATTGTTAGTCCATTATTTATACACTGAATTGACCACGGATTTTTTCCGTTATTTCCTGATTATGACAACGAGCACATGGGGGGTGTGACCGGTCGGCAGGGGATGCTCACTCCTCCATGGCACCTGATCCCACCTCTGATGTTTCGGAGGTCCGTGTTTGCTCTGTTCTTATTTTGTATATTTGTTTAATGGACGTTGAGATTGAATACTGTTCGTTATTTCCATAACTTCTTTTATTGTAAATTATCAATAATTCCAGCTCTTGAAAAAAAGGGGGGTAGACGATATTTTCTAGTGAAATTGAACTTTCAAGAATCACCATATTTTGAAATACTCTTAAATATGATAAAATGTATTTCATATCTTTTTTTATGTTTTACGCAAATAAATAAAGAATATATAAATTAATGAATACAATTATTTAGTTGTAAATAGCTTTAAAATTGGTGAAAAATCAGCATTTTTTTCAATTTTTTTTGTTGTCTATAAACATATGTTTCCTCCGTGAACACAAAAAATTTTGCATAAATTTGTAAAATGACAGACCATATTACCTGTAAAAAGGAATTTTTGTTTCACGGGGGGGGGGGGAGATGTTTGAATAATATTTTCCGTTTTCCGGTGAATTCTATAGTAAAAAACACCAGTTTTACCAAAATTTTAGGGTTATCTCTCTTTGGTATCCCAAATAAGTAACCTTTCATGAAAATTCATATAAATATCTATAAAAAGTTTGAAAATCAATCGAATATGTTAACTTTTGAGAATTGACTTAGAGGTAACGTAGGCGGGAGAACAATACTATTGTTCGTAGTTCTTATGCAAGCTTCCAATGGGAGATATCAAGAAAAAATAAGAACTGCAGGTGTAGTGTCATTAAAGGTGCATATACAGAGATTTGAAGTTTATATTTTCTATATAATGTAACAATGAGTATATTGCAATAGTATTTCACACAAAAATATAAATCTTGAAATCTTATTTTATCTCGAAGTTATTGAAATTTAAAATTTCTGCATGTACGGATTTGATTGACACATCCTTGTACTTTCACAAAG